GGATCGAGTCCCGCATCGGGCTCCCTGCTCAGCGGGGAGCCTGCTTCTCCCTCTGCCTCTCTCTCTCTCTGTCTCTTATGAATAAATAAAATCTTAAAAAGAAAAAAATAGAATGTAACCAGTTGTATACAGTTTAGAATCAATCACATGACCAAGGAAGAAAGATTATAAATTGAATAGTGCGGATGATTCTGCTTGCTCTTTCACTCCACAAGCTCATCTACTTTTTTCCATGGATGTTATCTCTTGTGATTAACCTGCTGGCTGATAGTCATTCTACATTAGACCTCTAAAATTGATGTTTGTAATATATATGTTATATAAAGCATGCTATCATGTATGTTCATATTTATACGGGCACATTATAAACATGTACTATATTTTTTAGGTGATTTCAGGGATTGCCACCAATTTTTTGCACAAAGGGCTGATTTTAGAACCTAATCCCTGTAGAAGAGGGTTCTATGTGAGTCTCAGTGACAGAATGTAGGGTGTGCATGTGAAATGGTTGCAAGGCCAAGAAAGGGGAAATGTTTGCTGGAGTTTTCAAGAATGTATTCAGCAAATTGATGGAGCTAAAACTGGGACATGAAGGAGGGTAGCACCTGGAGAGACACAGAGGAGTTAAGGGCGTCCGTGCGCACGTGAAGGGATTGTGCACTTCTAGGTTCTCAAGGTCTTGCTGCTCTCCCTGCCCTCTCTTATATTTCCCCACCACTTTCCTCCACAGAACGTGAAGCTCTTGGAACAGTTTGTCTGCGCCCACACAGGTGTCATCTTCCATGCTCCATATACAGGTTAGTCTGTCCTTGTCACCACCAGAATAGCTTTTCCTTGGAGCACTCCTCATTTATTCAGTGATACAACAGTTATCTGGTGGCTGTTCCGTAAGGCATAAAAAGTGTGAATGAACTTTTTTTGGAAATCTTGCCTTAATGGATATATTCACATGTGGACAAAAGGTACAAGCCAGTACCAATGTAAGTTATCTAAATGTAGCTGATAGAAGTGGTGGTAATTATTTCCTTTCTGTAGGGTCTCTTTGCTTTTGCAAAAGGCTTTCTAGCAAATTGACTGTCCTGTAAGTTTTTTTTGCCATCGACAATCCAATTAGATCTTCCAGATTTGGAGTTATAATCCTAACAATTCAAGATTACATCTATTCCTTAATGAAGGCCACAGGACAAATCTGGCGACCGCCATGTCCACTTATTTTCATATTGTGTGTAACTGCTTCCAGGCTACAATGGCAGAGTTGAGTAGCTGAGACAGAGACTGTAGGACTTGCAGATCCTAAAATTTATGTGGCCCTGCACAGAAAAATTTTGCCAACTCCTGCTCTAAAGCAAGATAAATTTGCAAAGAATAATCTGAATCCACCATTTTGGGGATGGCAGCATGATCAATGGAGTTTGGTTTGTCAGGGAGTTTTAAAGAAGAGCTTTATAGCCGGGATGCCTGGGTGGCTCAGGCGGTTAAGTGTCTGCCTTCGGCTCAGATCATGATCCCAGGGTCCTGGGATTGAGCCCCATGTCAGGCTCCTTGCTCAGTGGGGAGCCTGCTCTCCCTCTCTCTCTGCAGCTCCCCCTGCTTATGCGCTCTCTCTGAAAATAAAATCTTTAAAAAAAAAATGCTTTATAGTAAAACTATAAAAAGCTAAAGGAACTATTTTGCTACTCTCTCAGATCACCTTCTCCAGATCGGGAGCCCTTTCTTCCTTTACTGAATCTTTCTCGATGGATTGTTCGACCCAAACCTTTAATTAACCACACTTGCCCTATGAATTGTTTTCTGCTTTCTGTCTTGGAGGTTTTACCATGAAATAGCTTTTCTGTAGTGGCTAGACCCTCCTAAAGTCTTTTTTTTTTTTTTAAGATTTTATTTATTTGACAGACACAGCGAGAGGGGGATCACAATCAAGGGGAGCGGGAGAGGGAGAAGCAGGCTCCCCAGGGAGCCCGATGTGGGGCTCGATCCCAGGACCTCGAGATCATGACCCGAGCTGAAGGCAGACGCTTAACAACTGAGCCACCCAGGCGCCCCTAGACCCTCCTAAAATCTTAATCTCAGCTCTCAGAGGGGGGATTTTTCCCATTGGGTAGATGGGGAAACTGAGGCCAATCGAAGGGTCAAGAGAACTAGGGTTATTAGGTAGAGCAAGTTTTCCAAACTCAGCTCTTTATAACCGTATAGAAGCAGTTGTATACTCTATTTACTGTGCTTTCTAGAACGAGCACTGAGTTTTCTTTTTCTCCCTACAGGGGTCTGTATGAAGCAACATAAGAAGTTGACCCAGGCCATCCAGAAAGCCAGAGATCATGGTGAGCATGAGAAGGGGCCCGGTGCATTTTTCTTAGCCATGAAGAAGGTGATTTAGGGCTGGAGGGTGGATATAAATACTCCTTCGTGTCTGAGGAGGTGGCACCCACATCTCCTTTCAGTACTCCACTGTCTCTTTTTCTCTCTCCTGAGTCTCTTATCTTGTCATTGCCCTGTTGCCTTAATCCTCTGTCCTTTTTCTTCCCTTTTATAACTATCAGTCCCAATGCCAGGGATAGATCATGGGAGATCTTTGTATAAATTTCTGGCCCTGGGCTCCATGACACCTTTGCAGAAATTAAAAAAGGTATGCTTCGGGGCGCCTGGGTGGCTCAGTTGGTTAAGCGACTGCCTTCAGCTCAGGTCATGGTCCCAGGGTTCTAGGATCGAGCCCCGCATCAGGCTCCCTGCTCGGCGCGAAGCCTGCTTCTCTCTTTCCCACTCCCCCTGCTTGTGTTCCCTCTCGCTGTCTCTCTCTCTCTGTCAAATAAATAAAATCTTAAAAAAAAAAAAAAAAGTATGCTTCTGCTAGGGCAGATGCAGCTTTATAGCCCTAGAGCAGGGCTGCACAGCTTGGCAGACTAGAGTCCCAGCAGTAAGTATGTCAGTCCACATTGCCCCCTTGGCCAGTTGCCTTTGTGCAGTGTAGAACATGGATAAATATATTCAGTGGTTCTGACTGGTTCCTCCCTCCCTTTATATGTCATTTTACATATTGTCTTAACCCAAACTACCCTTCCTTGCTTCCCTCCCTCACTTTCTCTTTAATTCCCTAGGTCTCCTTAGTTACCACATTCCTCAGGTTGAACCTCGGGACCTTGACTTCAGTACCTCTCATGGAGCTGTGAGTGCTACTCCACCAGCCCCCACCCTGGTTTCAGGTGACCCCTGGTATCCATGGTATGGCTGGAAACAGCCACCAGAGAGAGAGCTGTCCCGCCTTCGACGGCTCTATCAGGGACATCTCCGAGAAGAGAGTGGTCCCCCACCTGAGTCAATGCCTGAGGTGCTGCTCACAACCCCAGCTGAAGCCGCCTCCACTGAGCAGGAGAAGCCCCAGAGTGCTCTGTAGACTGGGAAGGAATTAAGAGATAGTGCCTAGGAATTACATGATGGGATTTCATTCTGAAGAGTTGTGTCTGTATGTGGCCAATGGCAGGCCTAGGGCCAGAGAGAAGTAATGATGGCTGTTGAAGGGAATAAATGCTTCTGAGGCTTAGGGGAGGGCAGGACAGATGTGTATGGGAAACCCCAAACCCTATATATTGTAAATAGTAGATAGGCTAAACATTCTGTACTTGCTTCAGATTTCTGCTAACTTGGCTTTCCCACAATAAAGCTGTATCTCCTGTTTCTGGACTGAGTTTCAAGATTAATGCCATTTGTGTCGGGGATGGGGGAATTGGGGAATGGGTGCTGCTGTGGGGAGAGGAGGGGTCATGCTTGAGCCAGACTGGCCAGTGATTCTTGGGACCAGAAGCCACCAGGTATGAGCAGTTGGGCCATTATGTCAGGATCACCTTTCTGGCCTCCTGTGCCCAACGCAGTGGCAGTGTCCCCACCATACCTAGCAATTTCCTGATTGGGGCGGGGGTGTGGGGAGAGGCAGTTGAAAGGGTTGGAGAATGGGACACTAGGCTAGGAAAAATGCGTTGCTATAGCACCCGCGGGGTGGGGGGCGGGGGCGGGGGAGTGGCGTTAAGGGACTGGCCTGGCGGGAGTTTGGGGAGGAGGAGGGGTGGGGGCGATGAGGGGGGATGGGCAGGAGGGTGGGGCGGCCCCCTAGGGGCGGGTCCTGAGCCCCTCCTGCATAGCGGGGAAATAAAGCCTCCCTGAAGGGCTTCCTCTCCTTCCCCCAACCTCCTCCTTTCAGGGAGGGGCGGAAGTGACGTGGCACGGGGCGGGTCCGTCCACGCACAATGGGCCATGGAGTTCTCGTTCGATGTGGATGCGCTGCTCCCGGAGCGGATCACGGTGCTGGATCAGCACCTGCGACCCCCAGCCCGCCGACCCGGAACCACAACGCCGGCCCGGTGACATCTCAAACCCGCCCCAAGGCCCTTCTCTCCTTGTTCTTCTAAAAAACCTGGTCCAGGCACCACGCCCCCTTCTCACTGACTAGTGACCTCCTTTTGTTGCTCTGGCTCAACCTTCTGGTGACCTTTGACCCTAGACCTAGTGGAGTTGATGGGCACTTGCATCTGTGACCTTTCACTCCTTGGCCTGATTTGTTCTAACCAAAGGATGTGGTTGACACGCCCTTCCTGCTTCCCCACAATAAACCTCAGGGAGGGGGGAGTGTAATGTATTGAAAAAGAGGTGTGGCAGAAGTTTGGGTTCCAGAAAGGTGGGGTGGAAAATCAGATCGGAGGTCTCCAAGGTAAGGTCAGAGAGTCTTAAGTGCTGAACCTGGGTTGAGCTTGTGGCCAACGTTCCCAGGACCCTCTAATTCAGTGAGTATCTGACTCTTTGTTTCTTTTTTTCTGTAGTGTTGATCTGCAGCAGCAAATTATGACCATTGTAGATGAACTGGGCAAGGCTTCTGCCAAGGTATTGGGGAGTCTTTAGATGGAGGGGCTCTCTGGGGCCAGTAGATAAGGGAGGCATAGGTCCTTTGAAATGGACTTGCAGAAAGTCTGTCTATCTTCCCGGCAGGCTCAGCATCTTCCTGCTCCCATCACCAGTGCATCAAGGATGCAGAGTAACCGCCATGTTATGTATGTGCTCAAAGACACTTCAGCGCGACCGTGAGTGCCAAATGCCCTTCCATCCCATACTTGATTCCTTCCTCCCCCAACCCCTCTTCCTTTTTTGACTCTCCCTTACAAATAGTTGCTACTAGCTTGTTTTACTATTTTCCCCATCCTACAGGGCTGGAAAAGGAGCCGTTATCGGCTTCCTTAAAGTTGGATACAAGAAACTCTTTGTACTGGTGAGTATTACTGGAAGCTGAGAGTTCACATGCCTTGGCTTCTAAGAATAAAAGTGCTGGGAGTTGGGAGGCGGCAACGATGTCTGGGTCCTAAAAGGTACTTGTTTTTCTTTATCTCGTAGGATGATCGTGAGGCTCACAATGAGGTAGAACCACTTTGCATTCTAGACTTTTACATCCATGAGTCACTTCAGCGCCATGGCCATGGGCGAGAACTCTTCCACTATATGTTGCAGGTGTCACTTACTTATCTTTTCACCAGTCCATCCAAAATAGAGATCAAAGGCCCCTTTGCGCTGAGCCCTTCCAGAGCCCTTGCCTTCCACCCTCCTGCCTGCCATGTTCCCATATCCTCCTATTCCCTTCCCAGGCTGCTGGGTTCCTGTTGGCATGCTCTCCCCCCACCTTCTCCTACCCTGAGTCTCCTGTTCCCTGCAGAAGGAGCGAGTTGAACCACACCAACTGGCCATTGACCGACCCTCACAGAAGCTGCTTAAGTTCCTGAATAAACATTACAACCTGGAGACCACAGTTCCACAGGTTAGAGGTTTCAAAGGGTAGATCCTTACTGATCCTTACTAATGCTCAGCAAAGAAGTGGCATCTTCCAAGCACTTCTTATTCCCCATTATACAGGATTCATTTCATACAGCTAAGCTCTTCCTTTTTTTGTGGTAACATCTCTCATTCTGCAGCTATTCATAGTCATCTATTTTAATTTTTTGCTGTTCTGTATACTCAGTAATATGTTTGTGCCCCAAACATAGCCAGCTCATTTGCATCTCCTGGTTTTTACAGAGGTCTTTACTCAATGTTTTTTAAGGCCCAGAAAAGTATATATATCTTATCCTTTGGGAGCTTTGGCTTTATATGGAGAATGTGGTTTGTGTATAAGTAAATACAGTATAACGTTACTAATGCTATCCATTCATTTAGCAAGTATTTATTGAGTACTTGACACTGTTCTGGACACTAGGAATACTTGACAAAACAGATAAAAGTTTCTGCCCGTGTGGAGCTTATATCCTAGTTGGTGAGACAAACATAATGTATGACTATTTACTATGGTTGATGATACGTGCTCTGGAAAGATGAGAGCCACTAAGAAGGCTTGCGAGTACTGCTGTGGGGATGGGAGTGCATGGGCTTGTGAGTCAGATAATGGAGAGTGTAGAGAAGGCATCCCAGGCAAAAGGAATGGCTCGTGCAAACTCCATGAGATGGGGATGTGCCTGAGCAAGTGAATTGGCTGGTGTGGCTACAGCAGCAGGAGTGAAGGGGAGTGTGTAGATTAGATCACGCAGCAGCGGGGGAGGAATAATATTTCCAATCTGACAGGTTATTGTAAAGGCTTTGGCTTATGCTCTGAGTGGAAAGAGGAGAGTCATAGTAGGTGTTTGAGCGGAGGGATGATACCATCATACTTTTAGCCAGATCACTTTGGCTGTTAAGGATAGGAGCAAGTAGACCAGTTAGGAGGCAACAATCCTGATGAAAAATGGTGGTGGCTCAAACCAAGATGGTAGCAGTAGAGAGGGTAAAGGGTGGTCAGATTTTAAATATTTTGAAGTTAAATAAGATTTCCTGGTAGATTATCTGTGGAGAAAGAGAAAGAAGGAGTGAAGGATGATCCCAAACTCAGCCTGAGCCATTGGACAGATGAAGTTTCCGTAACAGAGATGGTAGGTGGAGCAGCCTTGGGAAGATATAGTAGGAGTCCACTTTGATGTTGTTAATCCTAGGTTGAGTAGACAGTTGGGTACTTCTCTGGAGTTTAAAAAGAGAAGAGGTTTGGAATAGAAAGGTCTCTGCATACATAGGGTATTGAAAGCAGTGAGGCAGAATGAGATCACCAAGGAGTGAGTATAGAGAAAGACAAATGGTTCAAGGACTTGCGTCCTTGAGTACTCTTTTTTTTTTTTAAGATTTTATTTATTTGACAGAGAGAGACACAGCAAGAGAGGGAACACAAGCAGGGGGAGTGGGAGAGGGAGAAGCAGGCTTCCCT